ACCTGTTACTGCAGTTGCAGAATAAGCTGCAAATTATGATGCATTTTGAAGCTGTGCATATTCAGAAGATCCTAATGCACATGAAGGATCCCCATTAGGATTAACTTTGCTCCTGTGGCATTTTCCTGTGAACTTTTGGTGCATCAAAAATCATATTTCCTTAACCAGAAAGGAATCAACCACTACTTAGCTAAGTAAATCATGAACTGTCAAAGCTAGAAAGAGCAGATTACGTTGCAGAGAACGATTTTCATGAAGTCTAACACCGGTATCAACCACAGCACTTTACATTTAGGTGAATTAACAAGCTATGGTAATCAGAGAGAAATGTATACCAGAAACAAACAGGAAGTGACTACTGGGACTTGGCACTGTCAAATGTCACCATATGGAAGAGGTTAAAAACTTTTTGAAGGTTCAGCTCCTAAATGGCTGGTGTTATCCACTAAGGCCAATAAAACCAGTGGGGAATTTAATTAATTTACTTTTATTACTCCATAATGATTTAGAATCTCTAAAAAAATATATATTAAGACCTCAGATAAGATAATTCTAGTAACAACTCTTGCCATTTAACTAACCAACACCGTATCATCTCCACTAATTATAAGACACTCGTGTTTCTGAACATCTCCCACATTATAGCAATTTCGTTAACAAAAATCACTGGAGGTGAAGGAGAGAAAGGAAGCACTCTCCCAGATGTATTACAAGTGTATTTATCCCGCTCGATACACCGTATCTTCTTGCATTTCCTGATTTATACTTACTCCAAAATATCTGCTTCATCCAAAAATAAACACAGGCCAGATACCAAATCGCAGGTTTGAGAACAAAACACATATCCAGCAGAGCTTACCCATTAACTGCACATGGACCCATTAAAGTAGGAAGCCAGGTCAGAGATGAAAGTGCTATTCTTCATATTCACTTTTTAGTGGAGAGTACTCAAAACAAGAGTAGGAACTATAACTGTGCTCTTCTGATGACTCTACTTCCAAGTATCCAGGGACTACTTCATTTACTAATCGTGTGCTCAACCCCAGGACGAGCAGAATTTAAAGAAAAAAAGTATCAGCTCTAATTTGAACCTTCCCTTCCCAGCAGGGTCCAGCTATAAAGAACTGAAGAAAGGCCATCTTTTTTAAAGAATGTACTTCGCACTATAGTGATTAACTTTAAAGAAACTAGAAGTCAGCTGATAACAGACAGAGTTTTAGGGCTGTAGCCCCAAGAACTGAAGTCATGTGTTTCATTTAAGGAAGGCACCAACACTGCCTGTCTTAACCGGTATGTTTAAAAGTTAAGGAGCCAAGTTTAACGCAGGCACACAGAGAACTTTCCACAACATCAATCCCCAATAGAAGACTGTTTGTACATGATCATATGTACGGGTTCAAAACTGTCTGACTACAGTTTTCCAAAGTCTTCGTAGAAACAAAATGTATATTCCAAAAATGTTTTTCACCGAGGCACTTTTTATGTTCAGGTTTCCTAGAGAGGGGGGAAATGGTGAGTACACATCACAAAGTCAAGAACTGTTTCAATGCTTCCCATTGGGGATTTTGGCTCAAACCTGCTTGAACTCCACAGGGTACCTGCCACCTGTTTATTCCCTTGCATTTCCTCCAGGGAACACATACGAGCTCCACAGATGCAACAGCTTCCAGGATGAGGTTTAAAGATGCTGGCTTTAATCTCACAGAAGTGCTAATTAATTTTGGTCCCCACTCCCCTAAAAACACCTACTGCTCCAGTGTTGCTCTATAACCAAGTATGGGGCTTGTGGAAACACCCCCTAGGTACGAACAAGGTGCTGGCTGGCCCAAAGAACAGTTGCCAAAGAATAGTGTGCACCACAACTTGTTCTCTCCTCCTCAGGTTTGCAGTCACCAAAACACGTTGATCTTCAAGTTTTCTGTTTGAGGAAATTAATAATGACTATATTTTGACACAGACATGCCTTTAAAGTACTCTAAAAATGTGAGGAATACACATGCATAAACTAAAAATACACCCATAATAGAAGTTACATAAATGTCCAGCCCTATCACCCATCTGTTTCTCGTAACAGCTTACTATAAAAGTAGTTCCACTGAAATCGAGCAAGCAGTTTGCAGAGGAAGTTGCTATTCAACGTGGGCAAGCTATGGTAAAAACTGGACAACAGACTTCTAAGTAGAACTGTGAGCATATGATTAGCGTATCACAAACAAGCAATGAACTCCAGCGTAATTACACCTGACAATATAGTATTCTTTCTTTTCATTTTCCCATTCTGTTTTTCACCCGTGCCCTCGGCCAGATAATTAATTGGTTTTATTTAGGAAGAAGAGGGCAAAGCTTAAAAACTCCCTTTGAGCACTACAGGTGTTAGAAATCTCTAGACTTATGTTTGTGCTAACGAAAGAGATTTGCTCTTATACATACATTTGCTAAATCTTATTATACACACGTTAAAAAAAATCCACTCCCAAATGATTCTATCTGCAAAGTATCACCATATGGTAGCTTTCACAAATGATCAACTGTACCAAAACATCTAAAAATAACATTCTTCCTTAAGTAAAATAAAAACAATTACCAGCAGAGACTTTTGGGTATAGTTCTGAGCTAAGGAATCAATATCGTGTTGCTGAAATGCTGCAAGTAAGTATATAAGCAACCTCCAGAGAAAAACAGAACAGCGCTAAAGGGCCCACAAGCATCAATGATAAATGCAATATACATGTTTTGGGTTCTTTCAAAAGTCTATTCTTAGCTGTAAGACAAACCCGATCCATTTAATTAAAACCTTAGCTTACAAACACATTCACCAAGTAAGTGAAGCTTAACAAATCTAATTTGAATGAAAGGGACTAGCTGGCTAAAAGAGCAGCTCCCTCATGTTCCTTGCTCTAGTGGTTTCATGTAACCACTGATCACCAACTACTACAACAGCAAACATACAACACCCTTAAACTAAATGGGAGTTGTCTGTCTAAATATAGCTACTTTTAAATAATGCATCGTGAGTTATAAAATAAAGTGCTACTGAATTATTTAACTTGGGTCTCATCTTTAACAAAGATATATCACTTTTAATTAAATGGAAAGAAAGATGTTTCAGGGTTGCATATTATTGTAAATTGCAACCAGCGAAGCAACATTTTATGACTCCAATTATGTCAGCAGTCACTTTTTCATTATATATATATATATATATATATATATATATATATGATTCACAGAAATAGAACTGAGACGCAAACTAAGATAAGCAAAAGCATCACTTGTAGTCTTAAAACTTCAGGTGATCCCAGCTCTGCATTCATTCACAGCCCTCGGATACAGAATATCCCACCAGCCTGTAACAGTTGGTAAGAATTGGCTGGGATCTCCTGCTCACAAACCTGTTTCAGTAACAGTCATAATCCACGTTTTCCTGACGCAAGTATCAACCTCTATGAGAGCAAACCCTCGAACATGCTTAACACCCCTTCAGCTAATAAAGCATCATGTCCCATCACTTTTAAAACATTTTGAAGACCGCCACACAGAAGTGGTGTTAAACCCAAAAGTTTGTGTAGGACTGTTTTCAACACGATGTAATAGTTGTATATTATTTACTATAGTAATCCCTCAGCCAGATCTAACATCTGCAAATACAAAATTAACATTTAGCAGTAAAATGGGTTGACACATCATGTTTAGGAGGTTTCAGGAAAAAATTGCTTTCCACCTCACATAATTGGATAAATGCTACTGTTCAACAACCAGTGCTTTCTGTTTAAAGGTGGGTGCCTTTTGGATGTCGAGTGTGAAGCAAAAGCTCAAGGGCAGAACAGCAGAAGTCTGAGAGGACTCCACAAACAGCTCCTTGCCAACTTTAATGGGTGCTCGGTAAAGGAAACAACACATGACCTATTGTGTAGAAACCAAAATATAACTGTGATCTGTCTGGGCCTGCATGCAGTCACTTTGACCCTCAAACCAGACACTTACAGCCAAACCCCTGATCTTGATGTCAGTGCACCCATAAGCTCACCCTGACAGGATTTTGTGCGGGTCCCACCACTGAATGTGGACCACACTTTGTAGAAATTCATGGGGTCTTTCTACACAGAAAGTAAGTCATGTCTCATTACTTTTATACTTTTAAAAGCATGGTTATTGAAGGTTGTTTTTTTTTTTTTCCCCTGTGAAATGAAAAGTGATGTAAATACACCGTCCATCAAAAACCTAAGTCCAGCGGGATGACTTCGGCAGCCCGAGCCAGCCAAAAAAAACTGCATTAACCTGAAATTCTGACAGCCGCCTTACGCATCCGGCCCCACGAGCGAGGATGTATAGAACTTCACTCCTGTCCCGCGAGGTGCCTTTCCAACTCGAAGCCGCGCTGCCCTCCTCCCGTGGCACTCCCTCTCCCAAACGGGTGTCCGAGGTGCCACCGCGGGCTCCCCTGCCTGTCCCCCCCCCCCCCCCCCCCGCCGGAGCCCCCCCGGCCCGGGACCGGGGGCGAAGGGGAAGGAAATTTAGTGAGGAAGGGCTCGCTGAAACAGCCCACCCGCGCCGTGGGGAGGCCGGGCGGGATCCCCGCCGGCAGCGGTGCCCGCCGCCCGAGGAAGAGGAGCCGGAGGGAGGCAGCTCGCCGCTTCCCCCCACACCCAGGACGCCAGGCGGGGCAGGGCGGCTGCCGGGGCAGGCGGCTTCCCCTCGGGCCCCGCGGAGCCCCGCCGCCCCGGGGGGCTCTTCCTGCCAGCCGGGGACAGATGTGGACGCAACAGCTGGACGGGGAGGAGGGGAGAGGGAAGGAAGGAAGAGGCACGGCTGCCTCACACACCCCACACCCCCCACCCACCCCCCCTCCTCGCTCTCCCCGGGATGCGGGCGGGATGCAGCGGCCGCCCCCCCGGCTCCGGGCTGGCCCCGCTTTAGGATGAAGATGGAGAAACTCGCCCCGCGGGGCAGCGGGGCTCGCCGGCTCCCGCTCCACCCCCCCCCCCCCCGCCGCCCTTTACCTTGCTGCGGATCTGGCCCGAAGTGGACACTTTCCGGATGAGTTTCTGGGGGCCCTCGTGCTCCCCTTCGCTGTCCGACGACTCGTCCGCCGGCCCCGCCGCCGCCGCCGGGGGTTGGGGTTGGGGCTGCGGCGGGATCCCGGCGCCGCTCATCCCCGACTCGGCCCCGGCCATCTTCCCGGACTCCTGCCGAGAAAGAGCACACGAGCCCGGCTCAGCCCGGGCAGCCGCTGCCGCTCCCCTCCCCGGGGAGGAGGAGGAGGAGGCGGTGCGGGAGGGTGGGGAAAGAGGCGGCACGGCGGGGGGAGGGGACGGAGGCGGTGGCGGCGGGGACGGAGCCGGGCGCTGCCGGAGCGGAGCGGACCGCCCGGCCGCCATCTTCCGCCGCCCCCGCTGAGGGAAGAAGGGCCGCGCGCCCGGGCCCGGCCCGGCCCCGCCGCCGCCCGGGGACTGGGGCACCGCCACCCGCCGGCGGGCGGAGCCGGGGCGGCCGGGCCCGGCCCCCTGCGCCCCTGCCCACGGCCGGGGGGGGCCGGGGCCGCAGGTGAGCGCCGGGGGGAAACCACGCGAAGGAGAGCGGGGAGGGACCCCGGCTCCCCCCCGCACCTGCCGCGTGGACAGGAGTCACGCGTGGCTCGGGGATGGGGTTAGGACACACACATACACACCCCCCCACACACACACACACACACACACCCCCGCAACACCGCCCTGCCGTTCGTAAAACCAGGCGGGCGCCCACGGGAGGTGGGCAGCCGAGCTGGCACGGCTCTCGAACGCGAGCGGGCTCCCCGCGTGCCGCCCCGTCACGGCGGCGGGCTGTGCCGCGCCCTCCCCGTGGGGAGCACCGGGTGGGGTTTGGGGGACGGGACGCGTGGCTTGTGGGGCAACGGGTGCCAGCGTCAAAGCGCCGGGCAATTTCGGCAAACGCATCGCTTTCCAGTTGTTTTCTCCTATTAGTTTAATTTTCTTATTACTCGCTTTCTGTCTTTGTGAAAGAGGAGCCTTTACTTTGGGGGAAAGAAAGGGTCAGTTTTCCCTTTCAATCTCAGATCTGGCAGCTCACACCGTCTCGAAATGTCACCACATGTTCCGAATTGTGGGACTTTGAAATTATTGTGGCTTGTATGTAGTCAGTGTTCAAAATAAGCTTTTAAATCACAGCAATACTAAATAAAACACACAGCTCCTAGCTGCATGGACCAGATTAAACATAAGAAAGCAATCAATACTTGCGGCTTCTATATTCCCACAATTCTATTTATATTTCTAGAAAGGGAACTGACATCTCTTAATATGCTAATATAATGCAGCGGTACCTAAACACAAAGCAGTTAATAAAAAACAAAAACCCACAGTGTACAACCTATCCTACACTGCAGACACCTTGCCGCAATCTTAATTTCATATAATCCAGAGTATCCCGATTCTTTTATGGGGACTTTCACTCATACTAGGGGAAATTAAATATTTCCAGGAAGCCTTGCAGGTCTTGTGGCTTAGTTCTGTGTTGCTGCACCAGGTTCTCCAAACGCAAATCTATTACCCTCCTTCACATAGGGTCACTTCTATGAAGTTACATTCCCAATTACAGTCACAAATCACAATTAAAAATACTGTGAACAGTTATATTAAAAAAAAAAAAAAAAGAAGTCAAAATTTCTCTTAAATTATATTCTAAAGGAATTTTTGATCGCATTGCCTGCATTCCCTGTTAGAATAATAACAGGGCCTAAATCCCACCATTAATACCACATCTCAGAGTAGATGAAGTTCTTATATAGTCCCTTTTCCCTACTGGCTAATTGTGAAGCTAAGGGATGATTCTGTCTCACCTTACTCTTCACCAGGGAGGGATTTCTCCTTTTTCAAAAACACGGGATCAAACTTGGGCAAGCGCAAGTATGTGCTGCTCTCGGTGAATTAATTTATGGCATGGCTAGGAAGAAAGATACATTAAGAGCAATATTTATGGACACTTGCTTTTTCCACCCTCTTTTCTTCCTCTTCTCCACCTTAATTTCGGGAATAGCAAATTACGCCGGAACAGATCTCACTGCAATTCCTTGAGTCTTTTGAAGGCAAATGACAATTGAACATTGCAAGAGGACAAGACAGAGTTTGCTAATTAATGCTAACATGTATTACGTGTAATTGTGACTGTGATTTGAGGAACACTTAGTGCTAACAGAACGCCAACAAGACAAACTCCTTTCAATTCAACTGAATTGAAACAGCACTAGCTGAACAACGCTAGTTACTGTTAGATTTTTTCCCCATACTAAAAAAGCATTCAAAGTATGGGTACATGTGACTGCTATGTATTTGTATCACAGGCCTAGGATCCTGTGCAAAGCTACATGCAAAACTCTTTACACATAGACATTTCATCCACAGAGAACACCTTCCCAAATTCAGTTGCAAAGGAGGGACGAGACAGCGAGGGGGAAAGGCACACAAAGACAACAGCGTATTACTCAGATGTGTAATTTGGGATTAGAATGTTCAAACTCAGGGAGATCACAAAGTCGACTCTATTTATTGATGACCCTAAATTTGCACCTTTGGTTGTTCCAGGTCTTTTTAGTAGAACAACATCTGGTAACTTGTTCCTTACATATTTAGACCTCGATGCTAAAAACAGTAGGTGGTTAAAGCGTATTTCCAAAAAAAGATTTCCACTGAAGTTTTGGAATAATAAACGCATAGCACCAGTATCTTCCAGAGCAAGACACTAATCTGGTTTGGTTTCAAACTGCTTTCACAACTGGTTACACAGCAAGATATTTTAAAAACTTGTCTTGAACTTTATAAAACATTGGACCATTTAGCAATGGATGTAAATACATTGTTTCATCATCATTAGGTGGAAAAATACGAACAAGTTAATAATTTGGTTTTTAAATATAACAGCTCCCATGACATCCGGTGGCTATTACAATTCCAGCAGAGGAGCTGGATATCTCCTTGGGTATCTGTATAGCCAGCTCAGATCTCCTTCACTAAATTTCATCTCAAATACATAAAAGCTGGTAAAAGACTATCTGTAGGTGAAATGGGCAATAAATACAATTCTTCAACTTCTGTTCACTTTCAGAGCATAACTGTCAGCCCTAGCTTCGGTGCACCTTCCCCACTGTGCAGAGGGCATCATGTGTCCTCGCGTGGACTACCCCGCTGTGATCTTCCTCTCTCCTGACTGCCCCAACACAAAAACTGCGTTACAAGGAGAGGGTGCACCTGCCTTTCACTTCCAAGCAATGTAAGTTGATAAACTTCAGAGTGCTATGAAAAAAAAAACAATGTACTAGGAATGTTCTCTCAGGTCACTTAACGTGAAGATTTTACTAGTAATCACCTCAATCTGCAAATGAGAGGAAATGTCCTGCAAGTACAGTTCAATGAAAATATGGTTTCTGCAAAACAATGTAGTGGAATCTGTGAAATTACGGGCTCTAAAATCTGCAATCACCTAACGTTTACAGAGTTCTTTGAAATGGAGAAATCAAGCAAATGTTAAGCATTGTTGAAAGTACCTGAGTTACTAATCCACGTTAGCGCAGAAAGTTGTTTCTGCAAACGTATACGTTGTCCATACACAGAGATCCTGTGCACCTTAAATATCTCACCGTTTCCACCTGTTCTTTTCCAGAGGTATTAATAGATAATCAAGGTCCAGTTCCAGCCTTTACTCCAGTAAAGCCATGAAACTTCGCCTCAGTAAGAACTGCCAACTTCACTTCCATCCCTTCATCTCACAGCCGAGATTGTCCCAGGTGATCGATGTCAGACTCAATATGAGAAATATTGTATAGCACATTTCAGCTGAGTGAATACAGCTATCAATTACTGTGGTACAAATGGTACTACTAGACTTCTGTGAGTCAGGCTCTGGAAGAAGACAGGGCTACATGCAGCCGTTAAAAACAGATACAATATTTGCATGTGCTGTGTCTTTCATTTAACATACTCAATTTCACGCCTCTTAGTAACTGCTTTCAATTTCCTAACTGAAGCAAGGGAAGACTGGTGAGAAGCATAAAGGTTAGCATTTAAAGGGAGATGCTCAACTGATACGAAACAGCTGCCCTGACATCATTTGTGCTACGGCAATTGGTATCAGCTGATGATCTGCCCTTTATATTCAAAGAATCCCAAAGTGCTGGGTACATATATGCACTGTGAGAATGTTTAAACTCAACCACATCCAGTCCCAGTAACAGAATACGTGCCGCTAAAATACATACACCATGTAGAAAAAAATCCAAATATACATGCACTCTAGCTGCACTGGAGATTATAGTTTATCATGCAGATTAATGCATTATTTGATTCCAGCTCTAATATTGATCCCCTGTGTAACAAGCGTGTTTACCTCTTTTTCTCTAGGTCACTTCAGCATCTATAAACTTCTTTTCCCTCCACCTTAAAAAGTCATTCTGAGGGGATCTGGACGAAAAGCAGTATATATGTCAGATTAACAATGCAATATTCATCATATTTAAAAGATTTTATTGAATCCTTCCTAATTCTGGTGGTTAGTGATAACTATAGTTTTTAACTGGGCTCCCCACACAGGGCAAATTAATTTCAGATCTGCCCATCTGAACTCCCTCTGCAGATTGAGTTAGCGATGTAATTCTTTCTTGGCTTCCTTACTTACCAAAGGGGGAAGCCAGAATATAATAAAATGTATGCATACTACTGTTAAAGAAGGTAACTACATCGCTTGTGGCCGTTTTGGGAGTAGCCGAGGCTAAAAAGTAAAGACTCATGTCTCATATAAAATATGGAAGTTAGGTCTAGAACTTTGTAAGATATATTCTGTCTTACACTTCGAGTACGAAGCCACCAAATCTCTCTTGGAAGAATGCAGCATGAGCCTTACATTTTCTGTTACTTTTATTTAGCTCCATCATGGAGGGTCTAGCGCAACTCCTACAGGAAGAGAGTTTCCATTCAAAAGTGAGCTGTGAATTAAGGAAAGGATTTTATAGAAATTTGAAATTGCACACAGACAAGTCCACCCCTGGCAGGCAAAGGAAAAGTTGTGGCTCCATTTGATACCCATCACTTATTTCTCTGAACAGCTATGGGAACAGCACCTCCCAGTGACTTCTGACAATTTGCATAGATAATTAACTTGCACAGATTCAAAACCTGCAATAAACAGTTTCCCCTACCCTGCTGCTCTTTTTCTGTGTTTTGAGAGCAAGGGAGAGGTCTGGGCACGTTTTTTTCCCCTTCATCATGTAGTTCTTCACCTAAGCCTCCCTTTGCCCCCATTATATTAAAAGCCTGCTTATGAGCAGATACAAAGAACTATGTGGCTTTTATCACAAAGACTATGTATTTTACCATCAGGTTACCAGGTAAAGGATTGAGTGGTTTAGCTGAAATTAGAGTCTTGTAAAGGAAATCAGTGCAGTGGTTAACCTTAAAACTGCATTCATGGATGTACTCTCTAACAACTGCAGCAATGAAATGATAAACAGGACCCAAATCCCGGCCCTTACTGGGGGAGGGGGAAATGGAGGGGGGGAAAAAAAAAAAAAAAAAAAAGTGCTCCTTGTTTATCTGAGCCCTGCACACAGAAGGAAACGGGCTCGGATGCTTCAGCCAGGACTCTGCATTTCCAAGTGGAGGGGCTGCAATCCATCTGCCTCCCGAGTTTCAGCTGAGTTTCGGATGACGGCAGCCAATTTAAATGTCACTGTTTAATAGGATAAGGCATTCGCGGGAATCAGCTTTGCCGCTTTCCTCCCACGATGTCTTCATCTCTCCGGGCAAAAATCTCGGGTTTCCCTTGCCTGATCCTTTCGGTGTCAGCTCCATGTTACCGGAACACGCATACAGCTGTTTTCCCTATCACAGCTGCATCTCCGGCAGCAGCTTTGGGGCTTGAGGACTGCAGAGGGCAGTGAAGGGGGATGTTCAACTTCACAACAAAAATGAGGCCATGAAAAATGTATTTAGGAGGGCTACGAACCCTAACAGGGAAGGGGGTGAACTTTGTTCACCATGTGTATCTCCAGGGCTGGGCTGCTGCTTTCCTGGGAGTGAGGACATCGAGCCAGGCAAAGTGTGGCTGTCCCCGGCTGCTCTTTAAAACTGGGTTTACAAGTAAAACCAGGAGCCCTGGACCGAGAGTTAGCAAAACACGGCGCAGCCATCTGAAGGGCAGCTTGGCAGTGGCATGGGTCTGTGCTTCACGCCGCCTCACCAAGTTCAGGGCCAGAGACAGCCTTGCCTTGACCTCTCAGATAGCCTGAAATCTCCCAAGCAGCTACCCAAAGCCTATTTTTAGCGCTCCCTGCCTGATGTGTGTGTGTGTGTTTGCACAATGGAGAAAAGCCCAAGAGCGGGACCAGACGGCCCTGAAAAGGGAAATCTGATTTTATCGCCTGCTGAGGATGCCGGTGACATGATTTCCTTCGGTTGGAAGGAGGGTCTCTGAGTTGCTTAAACAAACCGCACAGCCACCGCACGGCAGCTTTCCTCCCGGCCAGTTTGGGCGCTTCCCTCCCTTTGTAGCAGCCAAAAGGCACGTACTTTCCCCGCACCCCTCAAAGCAGGGTGGCAGCAGGGTACCCCAGCCCTTGGCCTGCTTTGCTGCTGTGACGGGAGTGACTCCCAGCCTGGCTGCGGAAAAAGAAGAGACAAAAAAAAAAAAAAAAAAAAAAAAAAAAAAAAAGTGTCTCTTTCTGGAGACTGCCTCCCAACGCTGGACACGTTGCTTTTGCTGGGCTAAGAAGGTGTTTAATGGTATCAACATCCAACACACGAACACACACACCACACACACCACTCCCCCCCCCCCCCCCGCCCCCGGCAAAGTTGGAGGCAAGGCTCTCGGTGCTAATCCCAGGCTTTCCACCCGGGCAGTGAAACTCAAGAAAGGGCAATGAACTCCTCGTCCCCCAGAGGGACGAGCCCGGCGGCAAATGGCCGGACACGGCGGGGGAGAAAGGCTTTCCCCTCCCACCCCGCGCCATCCCACCCCATCCCACCCCGAGGACGAGAGCCGGCGGCCGGGCTCCGGGGCGGAGCGGGGTCGGAAGAAGGGAAGGGGGAGGAGGGGGGGGTCAGCGATGAGGATGACAGCCCGACAACCCCCACCACCACCCCCCCCCCCCACCACCCCCCCCCGGCTGAACAACACAGGCAGGAAACGCCTGTGCAACTGCAAGGCACGCGTGTACCTACCAGCTCCTCCCAGGCGGGGCTGCGGGCGCTATAGGAAGGGGACCCACGCTCCTCCATCACCCCGCGGCAGGTCCCCTACCTCCGCGGGGAGGGCGCCGACAGGCAGCGGCGCAGGTTACGCGCGGCTGCGCCTCCCCTCCCTTGCCGCTCGCCCGGCTGGCAGCGCTTCCCCAGAGCCTCTCGTCCTTCCCCCCCCCCCCCCCCCCCCTTGGCCCCGCTCCTCCCTTTTTCTCCCCCCGGCCCCGTCCAGGCCCCCTTCCTCCCTTCCCCGCCTGGCTCCTCTCCCTCCCACGGCCCCCGGGCTCAGCCCCGGCTCCCGGGGGAACCGGCCTGCAGCTGCCGCGCCGCTCGCAATCCCCCCCCACCCCGCCGCCGCCGTGTCTCCCCCGGTACACGGCGCCGAGCCCACCCCCGCCGCCCCCTGCCCACCCGCGGCACCGCCCCGGGTGGGTGGGTGTGTGGAGGGGTGCACCCCCCGGCGCCCTGCAACCCCTCCCCGCCCCGGGAAAACCCGAAGGATTACGGGCAAATCGCCTTGGGGATAAACCGGTTTACAGCCGCTTCGGTTGTCGGCGTCGCGGCGGGCGAGGATGCTCCCCGCGGCGCCGGGGGGGAAAAATATGGGGGGGGGGGGGGGGGGGGGGGAACTCCCCCGTCGGTGCGCCCGCAGCCGCTCATGCCCCGCCGGGGTTTTGAGTCCATCCCTCAGCCCCGGCTTGGGGGTCTGAGGCCCCCACGGGCCCGGGTGGGTGTCCCCGGGGGGGTGGGGGAGGTGGGGAGCGCAGCCCCTCACAACGCTCCTCTCCGAGCCGGGCTGGGGGCCAGGAGGTGTCAAAAGTCACGGGCCTGGTGCTGGGACAGCCCTCCGCACCCTCGGTTTAACCCCCCTGGGGGAACCTTCTTCCCCCCACAGAGGCGCCGGGTGGTCCCAGACGTACCTTAAGACCACGGGAGCTGGGACACGGCATGGCCACTCAGGAAAAAACAGCACGGACACGTAGGCCATGTCTGAGGCGGGATGCCTTTCATTTCCAGGGCCACCGCGCCAGCCTTACGGAGTAGCAGGATTTCTCTGCCCTCCATCACGCCTTTTTATTAATAAACAGGGTCTACACTTCAGTCTTCTCAGCTTACTAGCTCAACAGCAACACCCTCCAACACCAGCCAATGTATTAAGACTCTTCAAGTGGATGTTGTATGTCCCACAAACTCAGCGCTTTCACTCACTTGTTCCTCTCTGGTGTTGCAGAACAGCAGGATACGTGAAAGAGTAGGACCAGAAGAGAGAGTGAGAAAACAAAGCTCAGTCACCATCCAAAATCACGGTGTCCTTCACCCCAGTTTTTCTATATTCCTTTTCATTCCAGCCTGCCTTATTGAATCCGCAGCTATCATGCTTGATTACAAAAAGTAGTCTCTGGGTCAACTACTTGGTAAGTGCAAACATCAGAAAAGGAGTTGGATTTCACAAGAAAGAAGAAAGGAATTTGTATTTGTAATAGTTTTATTTAGAGACGTATTCATTCTCCTAAGGTTTTAAAGCTTTTTTATACCAAAAAATGGCACACTACCGCCTGAGCTCTAGCTTTTGCAAAATACATTGGCAATTTACAAAAAGTAGCACTATTACTGAAAAAAGGTGAAGTCTTATCTATGCACTTAACTAAGCCTATAGAAAAATCCCATTAAGTTAAGATGGTGTGCCCCTAAGCCAGGCCCAAAGAAGTGCCCCAGCGATATAGCTCATTTGAGGAACCAAAATTGCTGCATTTCTTCCAGCAGTAGAAAAAGGAACTATTTTTCTTGATAAGTTTATCAGCGGTCTGTTGATGAACTGCTTTGATGGTAAGAGTGTAACCTCAGAAGGAAGCAAACAAGATGACTTAGGGCATTTTGCTTTTTGGAAGGCAGCTTTGTAAAGCTGTTGGTGGGCAACAGTTGTCCGAGGATGTCTGGTCTCCTTCCCTTCGTCCCGAGTGTGAGCTAGTGCTGAGGAATGTTATACTATAAAGGGCTTTACACTAAGAACGAGTGTCAGAGTGAGATTAGTCAGCTGCCCTCCTTTCCTCATGATGCACTGGAGGATCTCACATGATGATTGTTTGTACCTCTCAACATCTGGCCTCTTTAGCCTTGGCCATACCGGGGATTTGTGGCGAAACTGGCCTGCCATGAAATATATGTCATGCTAGCGCCTCACATTTCCTTGCTTGCTGAACCAGAAAAACTGAAAACTCACATACAGGAACTTTAAGTGACTTGAAGATGCTTCTTCAGCTCAAGCACTGTATGTACCCTTTTGCCCTGAAATTCAGATTCTTGTTGTTCCTTCAACCCCATTTTCTGTTTCATGTGCCCTGAATCTCATACCTGTGAATAGATACGCAATTACATTCACCTCATTTCATCCCCTGAGTTCAAAGTTTGGTTTCCATAAGTGGAAACCTAGTACAGGCCCCGGAAGATTACAGCAACCTACTTAGGTTGAAGGTACGTTTCAAGGTCTTGCTGGGTAAGGAGGACAAACATCAACTGCTGCACAGATCCTGCCATGTCTAAATGAAACCCGCGCAATGAAACTTCAGCTCAGTCCTGCCCTTTCGGGCTCCTGAATGCCAGATTTGATTTTTCACTTCCTTCTGTGGAGACAAGATTTTGGCCCTTGCTGAGGAGCCCTGTCCCGTATGATTTCCCCGCATGTGAGCTCTGCTCATCAGGTTGGAGAGCACAGTTTCTGCTGAGACCGAGGGCTCTGTGCTGCTTGGCTGAACTGGCTGAAAATCATAGCCAAAGTATTTTGCTGAAAAATGTAATTCTGTCAAAGCTGACGTGGGATTTGAAGACAGATGTCAGAATCACAGGATTTTTGTTTGTTTGTTTGTTTGTTTGTTTTGTTGTTGTTCATGAGCGTGCTGCCACATTTACAGAGGGGCAAGAGAACTGAAGTCAGGTCCAAGGCAAGGATAAGTTTCGCTTGCAAGGGGTAGAGGGTCTGCCTGCTAAAATGAGGAGTGACCAACTGTCATCTTGAGAAGATGGGGACGTTGGGTTGGGAGAAGAGCTCACTGGAGGCAGGTCTTTCAACTGACTTGAAAACAGTCAGCGATTCTCCTAGCTGGTCTACCAAACTGCATCAAAACATCTCCAACACAGCCTGGGGGTTGGTTTCATTTAATTCTGATTTTTTGATTCTGTTCCAAGTCGCCTTGTTTGTTTAGACTGTTTATTTTCTTTATTCTTTTCAAGTTTTTCCACTTAGTCTAGACATTTGGGGATGAATTTCTTGGTAGTCTGTTCTATCTACTGTGTTCAAAGATGCCTCATCTCCCTCTGTCTCTTCCGTTCCCTGCCCTTAATGACTCAGTGAAAACTGGATCAACAAAGCGAATGTTTCATTATTGACTTTTTTTTTTGCATTAAATACATTGAAAATGGTAACACATGCCTGCTTTTTCTAAGCAAAATATATTGGATATATTGGACATACTGAAACATACAGATTTTGACTGTGATGCTGTGCTTAGACGTTCACAAAAAAGTCCACACCTCTTTAAGTATTTCCATTCCCTGGGAGGAAAAAAAGGAACTTTCAGTTTTTTTCCTAATTTGAGGTAGAAATACATTAAAAGAATGAGCTTTTTACATTTTTCTGTATTTTTTCACCAGTGTTGTCTTTAGCATAAAGAGTATACACTAATTTTCATCAGTTTATGCTAACATGAAACTTCCTTCTTTTCTTGGCACGCAGCACACAAGCCTAATTTGAGTAAATTCTTCAAGGAAATGTTGTTCTTCATTCTCTTCATTGTAAACATGTCAGTTGGCCTTTTTTTTTTTTTTTTTTTTTCCTGTTAATTAATTTTGCATAACATTTAAAGGTAGGATTTCATCAGCGTGGTAGTTGTCCTGCCAGACAGAGAGGCAGTAACAACCCACAGTGGGTCAATAAATGCTAAATGTATTAAGAGCAGAGCAAAATGCACATATTTCTCAATCTGGTAACCCTTCAGATAGAACTGAAGGAACAGAATGAGCTAAGAAAAACATTTAAAAAATAAAGGTATATTTTTTCACTAACATTTGTACGAAAAGTCCTGATAGCTGCCTTGAAACCCACTACTTTCTGTTTGTAAGAGACAGGAAAACAATTCCCTGGAATTCTGGGTTTCACAAGGGGGAAAATTATTTATGCAGCTGGCAGAAATTTTTCTACTTTCTAAATGAACAGCTTTAGGAAGAAAGAAATCACAGTGAGAAGAATGCCTTGGGAAAAAAGTGTTTTACTGGAGCAGCAGCAGAGCTCTGGAGGGACATTCCACCGGCCACTTCATTGCCCTCCCACCACTTCTATTTCTCTTTCTCAGTTTTGACACCACACCACCCCGTGGCGTCAGCATCTCCTGCTTGTTCTGCTGGCGTGGATAACCACCTCAGTGCCTCCTGAGCAGCAGCATCAGGGGCTAATGGGGCTGAAGTGTTGATTTCCCCTATGGACTTCATTCAGAGACATCTGGGTGGGGTGTGTTTGTCATCCCACCCCTTTGGCCACCCTGACTTGCTCTTGGAGATGCAACAGGGACCCTGAAAAATAGCAGAAAAATGATGTGAAAGCACAGATGGCTGCAGGTGGCAATTTCTTAAACTGCTGCTAACTTTCGCTCTGCCAGTGCCAATGGCTGAGGGCATGTAATAATACATTCACTTAAGGATATTGCTGAACCAGATTTAAGGCATTCTGGCTTGCCATGGCTGGTTTCATAAAAATACTGTTGGAAAGAGTCATTGACTCCAGTCTCTTGGCCCAAGGAAGCACCAACTGTATGCAAACCATCCTCTACAGGCATTGCCTGTTCAAACCCTGACAGCCAGGGCTTTCTGTCCTGTCTGGTGGATGTAGTTAGTGAACGACCTAAATCTGCTGTGCTGCAATTTTCATCTCATCCCCCATGCACATGGAGATCCCATTCCATGCCTCTTCAGTGATAACTTTTGATGCATTTGGAGGCTGTTGTCACACATTTCTACCCTTAACTGGCTCAATTTCATTCTCAGCATTGACCTCTCAGCTAACGCTTCCAGAGGTGTTGCCTGTGCCTCACTTGACATGTAGTACCCATCCAGCACCC